CCCCAGAGCACCCAAGGGGGTCCCGTCACCCAGGGAGGGGGGGACAGGACCAACACCCGCCTCTCCCCTCCCCCCCAGCACCCAAATGCCCGGCGGGCACCCATTACGCTGTCTGTGCCCCCGGCTGCACCCATGGGTGCCGGGAGGGCTGCGTGTCCCCCCCCGGCACGGGGGGCACCCATGGGTGCTGGGCACCGGAGGGGAAAGCACCAGGTGCCACCGGCCCCCCGGGGACCTGCCGGGCCGTGGGGACGCGGCACTACCTGAGCTTCGACGGGGCGACCGTGGCTGTGCGGGACAACTGCTCCTATGTGGTGGCCCAGAGCTGCGGGTCCCCCGGCGTCCACCCCGCCTTCGATGTCACCGTCACCGACCCAGCCCGGGGTGACGGCAGCGGCGGCCGTAAGGTCACCGTCACGGTGGAGAAGCAGCGCTGGGTGCTGTGGGGAGGGCGCCCCGGCGTCGTGGAGGTGAGAGGGGATGGAGAAGACCGGGCTGGGTGGATGGAGGAGGAGAAGGATGGGCAGAGGGATGGAGGAGGACGTGGATGGATGGATGGATGGATGGATGGATGGATGGATGGATGGATGGATGGATGGATGGATGGAGGGATGGATGGATGGATGGATGGATGGATGGATGGAGGGATGGATGGATGGGTGGATGGAGGGAGGGAGGGAGGGATGGAGGGATGAAGTTTGGATGGATGAGTACATGGAAGAGGATGGAGGGATGAGTGGATGGATGAAGGTTAGAAGGCTGGATGGGGAAGGCTGGACAATGATGGAGGGAGAAGGTGGGATGGATGGATGGATGGAGGGATGGAAGAGGTTGGATGGGTGGGAGAAGGTTAGAAGGATGGAGGGAGAAGGTCGGATGGATGGAAGAGGTTGGGTGGGTGGAGAAGGTTGGATGGATGGGTGAAGGTTGGGTGGATGGCTGGAAGAGGTTAGAAGATTGGAGGGATGGATGGATGGATGGGTGAAGGTTAGAAGGATGGATGGAGAAGGTTGGAAGGTTGGATGGATGGATGGTTGACCTTCTGGAAGGAGATGGATATATAGAAAAGGTTGGATGGAGAAAGTTGGATAGATGAGTAGATGGAAGAGGATGGAGGGATGAATGGATGGATGAAGGTTAGAAGGCTGGATGGAGAAGGATGGACAACGATGGACGGAGAAGGTGGGATGGATGGAAGGAGATGGATGGATTGATGAGGGTTGGAGGGAGAAGGTTGGATGGAGGGATGGATGGATGGATGGATGGACAGATGGACAGATGGATGGACGGATGGATGGATGAACGGATGGATGGATGGATGGATGGACGGATGGATAGATGGATGGATGGATGGATGGATGGATGGATGGATGGATGGATGGATGGATGGATGGATGGATGGATGGATGGATGGATGGATGGATGGATGGATGGATGGATGGATGGGTGGGTGGGTGGATGGATGGGCGGGTGGATGGATGGATGGATGGGCGGGTGGATGGATGGATGGATGGATGGATGGATGGATGGATGGATGGATGGATGGATGGATGGATGGATGGATGGATGGACGGACGGATGGATGGATGAGGTTGGATGAGTGAGTGAAGGTCAGAAGGTCGGCTGGAGGACACGGACAAGCAGCCTCTGGCTAGAAGGAACATGGTGGAGGCCCGGTGGGGCGGCTGACCGTGTCCCCTCCTTGTCCCCCCCCCAGGTGGACGGCACCCCGGTGGCGCTGCCCTTCTGCCCGCAGGGCGGGGCCGCTTGCGCTTCAGCCCGAGGTGCCACCACCCTCCTCATCCTCGCCGCCTTCGGCCTCCAGGTGACGGCCGGCCCCGGGGCCGCCCTGGCCGTCACCGTGGCCCCGCGTCACCGCAATGGCACCTGCGGCCTCTGCGGCGACTTTGACGGTCACCCGGCCAATGACCACCTCCACCGGGCCACCGCCGGGCTCACGTGTCACCAGCCCTGCCCCGGGCCTGCGTGTCCCCCCTGCCACCAGCCCCCCAAGAGGACCTTCGTCCACGCCAAGCTCTGCGGTCTCCTCCGCCACCCTCAAGGACCTTTCGGGGAGTGTCACGCTGTGGTCCGACCCGGGATCTTCTTTGACATTTGCCTCCGGGAGCTCTGTGAGGCCCGTGGGGATGACGAGGTCCTCCACGAGGTCCTCCACCAGGTTCTGGGCGCCTACGAGGCCACCTGCCACCAGGCCGGGGCTCGGGTGGGACCTTGGAGCCCCCCCGACGGATGCCGTGAGTTGGGGGCCACGGGGCCGTGGGTTTTCTGGGCGTGGGCGGGTTCCTCGGTGGCCACCCGTGATGTCCCCTCTGCCTCTGTGGCCCTACCCGTCGCTCTTGACCTCCACGCAATCTTCTCCAGCTCTGTCCACCCACGACATTGTCCCTCCACAGTGTCCCCGTTGGGTGGCCACACCCCCTAGGGTGGCCATCCGTGCCGTCTTCCACCCATGACATCTTTCCGTCTCTCTCCGCGGTGTCCCCTCTCCAGCTGTTCATCTGTGGTGGCCTCCACCTCTCGTCACGTGTCCATCTCTGGTGTCCCCTCTATTTCTCTTCACCCATGACATCCTTGTGTGTCCCCCCATGACGTTCTCGTGACCTCTACGTGTCCATGACATCCTCACATGTCCCTCCATGACATTCTCCACCTCCCTGCCCACCCATGACCTCATCATGTGTCCCTGATGTCTTCTGTCTGTCCCTCCATGACGTTCTCCACCTCCTTGTCCACCCGTGACCTCGTCACGTGTCCCTGATGTCTTCTGTCTGTCCCTCCATGACATTCTCCACCTCCTTGTCCACCCGTGACCTCATCACGTGTCCATCTCTGGTGTCCCCTCTATTTCTCTTCACCCATGACATCCTCGCATGTCCCTCCGTGACGTTCTCCACCTCCCTGTCCACCCGTGACCTCCCTACCCATCCCCTCCATGCTGTCCCCCGCGGTCGCCGTGGCCCCACCCAAGCCCCGTGTCACCCACAGCCCCGTGGTGCCCCGAGGACTCTCGCTGCCGCCCCGGTGACACGTGCGGCTCCCACCGGACGCTGCGGCCCCGGGACCTGCCCACAGGTGAGGGGCCACCACGGAGGGGGGACACGAAGGGACCTCCAGGTGAGGGGCCACCGTGGGGGGTGGAGAAACCAGGAATGGAGGAGGAGTGGAAGGATGAGGAGATGGAGAAACCACTGAAGGCCAGAGGGATGGTTGGGTGGATGGAAAAACCACTGAAGGTTGACGGTTGGATGGCTGGATCCACAGAAGAAGGGTGGACAATTGGGTGGACAAATCCAGATCTTCAATGGTTTCTCCATCCATCTGGTCACGGAGATGTGGATGGAGAAAGGTCTGGAGATGGATGGATGGATGGATGGATGGATGGATGGATGGATGGATGGATGGATGGATGGACCATCAAGGAAGTTCTTCAACATTTTCTCCATGCATTGAAGACGTGTCAATGGATGGATGGAGACACCAAAGAACTTCTCTGGTGGCTTCCCCATCCACCTGTCCCTGGAGATATGGATGGAGAAACCACTGAAGGTGGAGGGTTGGGTGGATTAGATGGATGGAGACACTGTTGAAGGTCGACAGTTGGGTGGTTGGATCCCCAGAAGGATGGATGATTAGGTGGACAAATCCAGGAGATCGTCAAGGGTTTCTCCATCCATGTGGTCATGGAGATGTGGATGGAGAAAGGTCTGGGGATGGATGGATGGATGGGTGGATGGATGGATGGATGGATGGATGGATGGATGGATGGGTGGATGGATGGATGGGTGGATGGATGGATGGATGGATGGATGGATGGATGGATGGGTGGATGGATGGATGGATGGATGGATGGATGGATGGATGGATGGATGGATGGATGGATGGATGGATGGATGGGTGGATGGATGGATGGATGGATGGATGGATGGATGGATGGATGGATGGATGGATGGATGGATGGATGGATGGATGGATGGATGGGTGGATGGATGGATGGGTGGATGGATGGATGGGTGGATGGATGGATGGATGGATGGATGGATGGATGGATGGATGGATGGATGGATGGATGGATGGATGGATGGATGGATGGATGGATGGATGGATGGATGGATGGATGGATGGATGGATGGAGAAACCATCAAGGAAGTTCTTCAACGCTTTCTCCATCCATCCAAGAAGCGTCAATGGATGGATGGAGAAACCAAAGAACTTCTCTGGTGGCCTCCTCACCCACCCGTCCCTGGAGATATGGATGGAGCCACCATCAAAGGGGGTGGAGATGGGGGGCGTGGGGGTCCCAGCAGAAGCCCCCTAACCCCGTTTCCCCCCCTTCAGGGGAGCTGCTGGGAGCACTGCCGCTGCAAGGTCTCGCCCCGGCTTTGGGGACCCCCGGGGGCATCGTGGGGCAGCTCCTGGGGTGGCCCCTCGGCCTCCGACCCCTCGGGGTTGTCCCCGTGGTCCCATAGTTCCCCAGAGGTCACCCGGAGTTGGAGGGGGGAGGGGGGGGGTGGGGGGATTGTCCCCCCTTACCCCCCCCCCCCCCCCCCCCCCCCAGTTTGTCCCCACCCCCAAGTTTTTCGTGAATAAACATTTTTTCGTTCCGGGCTCAGGGGGGGTGGAGCTCTGGTTTGTCCCCAAAATCAATGCGGGGGACACCCCCACACCCTTTGGGGACGTCCCCACCCACCTTGGGGACACCCCCACACCCTTGGGGACATCCCGCCCCGCCCCTCCCAGTACAAACCACACCCAGGACCAGTTCAACCCTTTATTGGCTGTGTGCCCCGCCCTACCCCCCACCCCCCCCCCAAGGTGACACCCGTGTCCCCTCCCCACCTCGCCAGGGTGGGGGGGGTGGCATTGTCACCCCACGGGGACACAGATGTCCCCTCCCCACCCCAGGGGGGGGTGGGTGAAGCTCAGATCTTGCCGGGGAAGGTCCCCTCCTCGCGGTACTCGTCCCACGTTGTCACCTGGGGGGGGGAGGAGGGGGGGCAGGGTGACAGCGGGGGTGACGTCACGGGACACACACACACACACACACACACCCTGTGGGGACACCATGGGGGAGCCAAGAGGGACCCAAGGACAATGGGGACACGGTGGGGAGCCTGAGGAGGACCTGGGGACACCCTGGGAACATGGGGGGGGGGACGGACACCGAGAGTCATGGGTGACACCCTGGGGACATGGTGGGGACACCGAGGGTCATGGGGACACCGGTGAGGACACGGTGGGGATCCTCAGGGCCGTGGGGACACCGTGGGGGGACCCGAGAGGGAGTCAAGGACAATGGGGACACCGTGGGGACAAGGTGGGGACCCTGAAGAAGACCTGAGGACCATGGGGACACCCTGGGGACATGGTGGGGACACTGTGGGGACCCTCAGGGCCATGGGGACGTCGTGGGGACACCCTGGGGACATGGTAGGGACACTGAGGCCATGGGGACACCATGGGGACACTGTGGGGACCCTGAAGAAGACCTGAGGACCATGGGGACACCTTGGGGACATGGTGGGGACACTGGGGATCCTCAGGGCCATGGGGACACCCTGGGGACATGGTGGGGACACCAAGGGCCATGGGGACACCGTGGGGATACCGTGGGGACATGGTGGGGACAGCATGGGGATCCTCGGGGCCATGGGGACACCATGGGGGACCCAAGGACAATGGGGACACTGTGGGGACAAGGTGGGGACTCTGAGGAGGACCTGAGGACACCCTGGGGACATGGGGGGGACACCGAGGACCACGGGCACATCCTGGGGACATGGTGGGGACACCCTGGGGATCCTCAGGGCCATGGGGACATCGTGGGGGACCCAAGGACAATGGGGACGTGGTGGGGACATGGCGGAGACCCTGATGAGGACCTGAGGACACCCTGGGCACATGGGGGGGACACTGAGAGTCATGGGTGAAACCCTGTGGACATGGTGGGGACACCATTGGGACACCGAGGGTCATGGGGACACGCTGGGGACACCGGTGAGGACACGGTGGGGATCCTCAGGGCCGTGGGGACACCGTGGGGGGACCCGAGAGGGAGTCAAGGACAATGGGGACACCGTGGGGACAAGGTGGGGACCCTGAAGAAGACTTGAGGACCATGGGGACACCCTGGGGACATGGTGGGGACACTGTGGGGACCCTCAGGGCCATGGGGACATCGTGGGGACACCCTGGGGACATGGTAGGGACACTGAGGCCATGGGGACACCATGGGGACCCTGAAGAAGACCTGAGGACCATGGGGACACCTTGGGGACATGGTAGGGACACTGAGGACCCTCAGGGCCATGGGGACACTGTGGGGGACCTGATAGGGACCCCAAGACAATGGGGACATTGTGGGGACCCTGAGGAGGACCTGAGGACACCCTGGGGACACCGAGGGCTAAGGGGACACCGTGGGGATACTGTGGGGACATGGTGGGGACAGCATGGGGATCCTCGGGGCCATGGGGACACCATGGGGGACCCAAAGACAATGGGGACACTGTGGGGACAAGGTGGGGACTCTGAGGAGGACCTGAGGACACCCTGGGGACATGGGGGGGACACCGAGGACCACGGGGACATCCTGGGGACATGGGGGGGGACACCCTGGGGATCCTCAGGGCCATGGGGACATCGTGGGGGACCCAAGGAGAATGGGGACGTGGTGGGGACATGATGGGGACATGGCAGGGACCCTGAGGAGGACCTGAGGACCATGGGGACACCCTGGGGACACTGTGGGGATCCTCAGGGCCATGGGGACACCGTGGGGGACACAATAGGGACCCAAGGACAATGGGGACACTGTGGGGACACGATGGGGACCCTGAGGAGGACCTGAGGACACCCTGAGGACATGGGGGGGGACACTGTGGGGACCCTCAGGGCCATGGGGACATTGTGGGGACATGGTGGGGAGCCTGAGGACCATGGGGACACCATGGGGACACTGTGTGGACATGGTAGGGACACCGAAGTCCATGGGGACACTGTGGGTACACCATGGGGACACTGTGGGGATCCTCAGGGCCATGGGGACATGCTGGGGGACCCAAGGACAATGGGGACACCGTGGGGACATCATGGGGGACCCAAGAGGGACCCAAGGACAATGGGGACACTGTGGGGACACAGTGGGGACCCTGAGGACACCCTGGGGACATGGTGGGGACACCGTGGAGGACCCTGGGGGACGTCATGGGGGACCCCAAGTGGTGTGGGGACACTGAGGGGACACTGTGGGGACTCTGAGTGGACCCCGAGGGGTTTGGGGACATCCGGGGGGACACCATGAGGACCCCAAGGGGCGTGGCGACACTGTGGGGACACCAAAGGGACTTCAAGGGGACCGTGGGGGCTGTGGGGACACGCTGGAGACACCAAGGGTCATGGGGACACTCTGGGGGACCCCGTGGGGACACTGAGGGGACCCCCAGGGCCGTGGGGACTTTGAGGGGATCCTGGGGGCAGTGGGGACACTGTGGGGGGACACGGGGACCCCACGGGGACACTGAGGGGACCCCAAGGGGTGTGGGGACACTGTGGGGACACTGTGGGGACCCTGTGGGGCTACTGAGGGGCCTGGGGACACTGTGGGGGGACACGGGGACACCACGGGGACACTGAGGGGACTAAGAGCTGACACTGAGGGCTGTGGAGACACTGTGGGGACACCATGGGGACTTTGAGGGGATCCTGGGGACCGTGGGGACCCCAAGGGCTGTGGGGACACTGTGGGGGGGACAGGGGGACCCCATGGGGACACTGAGGGGACCCCAAGGGGCGTGGGGACACCGTGGGGACCCTGAGGGGACCCTGAGGGGTGTGGGGACGCCTTGGGGACACCGTGGGGCTACTGAGGGGTGTGGGGACACTCTGGGGACTTTGAGGGGACCCTGAGGGCCATGGGGACCCCGGGAGGGACCCTGAGGGCCGTGGGGGGACATGGGGACACCACGGGGACACTGAGGGGACTAAGAGCTGACACTGAGGGCTGTGGAGACACTGTGGGGACATCATGGGGACTTTGAGGGGATCCTGGGGACCGTGGGGACCCCAAGGGCTGTGGGGACACTGTGGGGGGGACAGGGGGACCCCATGGGGACACTGAGGGGACCCCAAGGGGCGTGGGGACACCGTGGGGACCCTGAGGGGTGTGGGGACGCCTTGGGGACACCATGGGGCTACTGAGGGGTGTGGGGACACTCTGGGGACTTTGAGGGGACCCTGAGGGCCGTGGGGACCCCGGGAGGGACCCTGAGGGCCGTGGGGGGACATGGGGACACCACGGGGACACTGAGGGGACTAAGAGCTGACACTGAGGGCTGTGGGGACACTGTGGGGACTTTGAGGGGATCCTGGGGTCCGTGGAGACACTGTGGAGGGGACGGGGGGACCTCACGGGGACACTGAGGGGTGTGGGGACACCGTGGGGGGGCTACTGAGGGGTGCAGGGACCCCGTGGGGACACTGAGGGGACAGCCTGGGAACTTCGAGGGGGATCCTGGGGGCTGTGGGGACCCTGGGGGGACCCTGAGGGGCTACTGAGGGGCGCAAGGACCCCGTGGGGACATCTTGGGGTCCCCGTGGGGACACCCTGGGAACTTCGAGGGGATCCTGGGGGCTGTGGGGACCCCCGCGGGGACCCTGAGGGGCTATTGAGGGGTGCGGGGACCCTGTGGGGACATCGTGGGGTCCCTGTGGGGTGTGGGGACCCCGTGGGGACATCTTGGGGACCCCATGGGGTGCCACTCACCCAGGCGGTGGGACAGAGCGACTTGTAGACGCGCTGGTACCACTGGCAGGGAGCGACATCCGCCCCTTTGGCCGCCATCGCCTTCTCGCAGCGGTGGAAATCTGGGGGGACATGTTGGGGGGGGACCCTGAGGGACAAAAAGGGCCGAAGAAAAAAAAAAAAAAAAAAAAAAAATGGGAGAAAAAGGGACAAAAAAAAAGGGAGGAAAAGGGACCGTACCCAGGTAGTTTTGCCAACAGTTCCTGGTCTGGTTCTGGTTGGGGAAGCGGCTGTCGAACGGCGCCGTCTTGTAGCGCTCCAGCTTGGCCTTGATGTCCTCTGCCATGGCTGGGGAGGCCGGGTAATTAAAAGGGGGTTAATTAAGCAGGGATAATTAATTACACACACACACACACACAGCCCCCCCAGGTCCCCTTCCCGTTGCGAAAAGGGAGGGGGGGTAATGGGGGAAGAGTGTGCTGGGGAAGGGGGAAGCCCTGTAGGGGGGTAATTAGCAGGGGTAATAAACCCCCTCAGGACTAATTAACATCCCCTGGAATTAATTAACACCCCTTAGGCTTAATTAATTAGCCCCAGAAATAATCAGTCACCCCGAGCTACCTTTCTCATAATGAAAAGAGGGAAGGTAACAGGGGGAGAGTGTGTTGGGGAGGGGGGAATGCTGGCAGGGGGTAATTAGCAGGGGTAAATAACTCCCCCTGGAGTAATTAACACCTCCTGGGATTAATTAACACCCCTGGGATTAATTAATTACTCCCAGAATTAATCAATCACCCCCAGCTCCCTTTTTCATAATGAAAAGAGGGAAGGTAAGAGGGGGAGAGTGTGTTGGGGAGAGGGGAACCCCAATAGGGGGTAATTAGAAGGGGTAATTAACTCCCCCTGGACTAATTAACACCTCCTGGGATTAATTAACAACCCCTGGGACTAATTAATAAGCCCCAGAAATAATTAATCATTCCCAGCTCCCATTCTCATAAGGAAAAGGGTGAAAGTAATGGGGGGCAAGAGAGTGTTGGGGAGGGGGAGAACCCCAGCAGGGGGTAATAACCCCCCTGGACTAATTAACACCCCCTAGGACTAATTAACACACCCCAGGCATAATTAATCCCCCCCCAGCTCCCCTTCACATCATGAAAAAGAGGGTGGTAATGGGGGGAGAGAGTGTTGGGGAGGGGGGAACGCTGGCAGGGGTTAATTATCAGGGGTAATTAACTCCCCCTGGACTAACACCTCTTGGGATTAATTAATAAATCACAGAAATAATTGATCACCCCCAGTTCCCATTTTCATAATGAAGAGGGAAGGTAACAGGGGGCAGGAGAGCATTGGGGAGGGGGGAAACCCTGGCAGAGGGTAATTAGCAGGGGTAAGTAACCCCCCTGGAATAATTAACATCCCCTGGGATTAATTAACATCCCCTAGCATTAATTAATAAGTCCCAGAATTAATTAATCACCCCCAGATCCCCTTCCCATTGTGAAAAGAGAGATGGTAACAGGGGGAAGGAGAGTGGGGGAGGCCCCTGCATGGGTAATTAGCAAGGTTAATAAACCCTCCCGACCAATTAACACCCCTCAGGACTAATTAACACCCCCCAAAAACAATTAATAAGTACAAGAAATAATTAATCACTCCCAGCTTCCCTTCCTGTCATGAAAACGGGACGGTAACGGGGGGCGAGAGTGTCGTGGAGGGGGGAACCCCAGCAAGGGGTTATTAACAGGGGTAATTAGCCCCCCTCAGACTAATTAACACCCCCTGGGACTAATTAAGAATACCCCACAGAATAATTAAACCCCCCTGGGATTAACTAACCGCCCCGGGGAATGCGAAGGGGATGGTAATGGGGGAGGGGTGGGGAGGCAGTCATGCTGGCGAGGGGTAATTAACGAGGTTAATTAATCTCCCCAGACTAATTAACACCCCCCTCGGGGCTAATTAATAACCCCCTGAGACTAATTAAGCCCCCGGGACTAATTAAGCTCCGCCCCCCGGGACTGAAAAGGAGGAAGGTGATATGGGGGGGTGTGGGGGGGTAATTAATGGGGTTAATTAACCGCCCCAGTAATGAGGGGGGAGCGGGAGGTTCCCAGTAACGCCCCCAGAGCTGTCCCAGTGCCCCCAGTTCCCCCCCCGCCTCACCGGGCGCCACCGACTCCGCTCAAAGTGACCCTCCCGTCGGAACCAACGAGACGCGACGGAAGCGCAGCGCGCCGCCGGACGTGACGCAACGCGCCCAGAGGAATCCAATGGGAGGAGCAGTGGAGACGCAAGGGGTAGAGCGGCCGAGGCGGAGGGAGGGGCCGGTGAGGGGGAGGACTGCGGCGGCCATAGAGATAAGGTGGGAGGACTGAGGGTCGCCGGCGGCCGAAGGACCCCGGAACTCCCTCAAAACACTCCGAAACCGCCCCAAAACGCCCCTAGGACCCCAAACTTGACATTAACAATCTCGTGTGTCCCCCCCTCCCCCCAATACCCTGTTCTTGTGCTAAAATATCCCCCAGGACCCCCAAATCCTCCCTGGACCCCCAAAATAGTCCAAAATGGTACCAAACACCCCACTCCACCCCCCCCCCCAAATCGTCCAAAACGGTACCCGAAACCCCCAAATAATCCCTCTAGACCCCTAGAATGTCCCCAGATATCCCCCAAGACCCCCCAAATGCCCCTCGGGACCCCCCCAGATGTCCCATTCCTGTCCTCAAATCCCTCCAGGACCCCCCAAAAGTCCCATATTTGTTGCTAAATCCCGCAAGAATGTCCCCAAATCCCCCTCCAGAACCCTCCAAAATGTCTCATCATTGTCTCTAGAACCCCCCAGGACACCCCCAAAGTCCCGTATTTGTCCCTAAATCCCCCCAGGACCCTCATAGTGTCCCCAAATCCCCCCCCCCAAGACCTCCCAAAATGTCCCGTTTCTGTCCCCAAATCCCCCCAGGATCCACAAACACCCCCTAGAACCCCCCAAAAGTCTAATCTCTGTCCCTAAATCCCCCCCCCCAAATGTCCTCAAATCCCCCCAGGCCCCCCCAAATGTCCCATCTGTCTCCAAATTCCCTCAGGACCCCCAATATGTCCCCATATCCCCCTCCAGGACCACCCAAAATGTCCTATTTCTGTCCTCAAATCCCCCCAGGACCCGTAGACACCCATCAGGACCCCCCAAAAGTCCCATATTTGTCCCTAAATCCCCCCAGCAACCCCAAAATGTCCCCAAATCCCCTCAGGACCCCCAAAATGTCCCATTTCTGTCCCCAGATCACTCCAGGATCCCTCAGGAACCCCCAAATCCTGCAAACTGTCCCCAACTCCCCCTCCAGGACCCCCAAAAGCACCATTTATGCCCGAAAATGTCCCCAAATCCCCTCAGGACCCCCAAAATGTCCCATTTCTGTCCCCAAATCCCCCCAGGACTCCCCAAATCCCCATCCCTGTCCTCAGATCCCCCCAGGACCCCCCAAATCCCCATCACCGTCCCCAAACACCCCTCCAGGACCCCCAAAAGCACCATTTCTGCCCCCAAATCCCCCCGAAGCACCCCTTAAAATGCCTCAGCCCAGTCCCCAAATCCCCCCAGGACCCCCAAAAAGTCTCACCTCTGTCCCTAAATCCCCCCCCAGGACCCCTGATTTAATTGACTGAAGTCCAATTTCAGAATAGGCGTACAATTTTATTTGGGTTCAATCAATTCAGGGTGAGAAGCAATAAGCAAAGCAGCGCGGGGAGTCTCAGCTCCGCGACACGCACCCCGAGTTCTAACAGCAGGGTCCTTTATGCCCTTGCACCGGCGTCTTGGCCAAACCCCGTTGTCCTGCTCTTCCTCCACTGGATCATTCGAGTTGCTGGGGTACGTGGCCGTCCCCTGTTGAGTCCTTTGAAAGTCCGGAGGTCTCTGCCTCTTGCCTCGCTGTTCTCCTGTTGCATCTTTTGAAAGTGGCGGGGTTTTGTCTTTTCGGCGGGATTTCCCCAGCAGAGGTTGCTGCAGCTCAAGGCGGGGTTTCTAAGAAGCGGTTGCATTGTTCCGAGCAAGAAGCACACTCATCTAATAAAATTATTCTTGCAGAGTCTCGATTTGATTCCGACATTCATCACAATTACTATGCCGGTTGTAATGATCACACATCATTTCAGATCCACACAGGGTACAACAATTACACTTATCACATCATATTCTATTTAGACACGAATCGTGCCTGTGTTTTCCACAATTCCCCACTTTGTTTATCTCATTGATTCATGTCTTGGTTTCTAATTCGATAACAGCTTTCCGTGCTGCCGTTAAAGTTGGGGTTGTTTCAGTCCCTAATACCATTAATGGTGTCTTATTATTCTTTATTTCCGATTGCATACTTTGCACCACCGATCGTATTAACCAAGTAAAACATGGAATTATACAAGGGATAGTTAACAACCCTCAAAATATCCCCAGGAGTAAAATACCCACGTTAGTAATCCAATCACCATTAAAGAATGACATCCATGATCCTAAATTTCCAGTGTTAAACCCATTCCGCGTTTGCACTGGGACATGGGCTACTTTCTTCATTTCTCTAACCAGTTCATCTACAGCCCTTCCTTCGTCATCTATTTGTATACAACAATTGGTGAGGTTAAATTTCCCACAAACTCCCCCTTCTTGTGCCAACAGGTAGTCCAACGCTGAACGATTTTGGTATATTGCAGTTCCCATTTTTGCATTTTGTTTTGCAAGTAGGCTTAAGGCATCTCTGGTTTGTTCACTACTGTTTCAACTACTGCTTGTAGCCGTATAATCCTGTTTAACATATATATCGGAGTTCAGTAGCCCCAAGATCCATCCTCCGCCCATGTTGCAGGATCATAATAGGCTATTATTCTCTCTGGAGGCCATTCATTCTCTTTCCAATTCCCAATTTGTAAATCTCTCTTGTATCTCCTCAACTTATCAGATTCTGTACACACAGGAACCCCCAATCGTTCTCCCCTACCTATTGGCAACAAGAAGCAGCTACATCTAATTGTACCTACTATACATGACCCAACCCAATTCTTCGGTAAAGCTGCGAAGGCTAATTTTCCACAAATCCAATAGTGTCCCTCCGGTGCAGGCCAACCACTAGGTATATCGTTCCCATTTGTCCAGCTGGCCACTTGTGGATTTATTTCCATTGGGTCCCCCCATTTATCCCAATCCTTCCTCGTTTTATTCCATATATAGCCTCCTTCACAAATTAAATTTCCCACTGGCTCCCCTTTCTTGGCTAGGTGTTAAAAACAGCTTCTCCCTATTATATTAGCTTGTAAAATCCACGGTTGTCTTCTATCCTGACTATTTATCTTCTAGATCCTAGGGTCAGTTTTATTACTCTCTAAGGCTTCCCAAGGCCAATGTTCTCCCTGATTTGTCCCTCCACACACATAACAATTCATTACTTTTAGCACTTTTGCTATATTTTCAGTTCACAAACAGATTTTTAGCAACTGTGGGAGTTTCATACTGGACTCCTGTTTCCATTTCATGATAAAACGAGTTGAATAACAAACAATGTTGTATGGTTTGCCTTACTTCTTGATGATAAATTATTCGGATTATGGCTCCTGGATTGTAACCAGAGGCCCAAATCTTGATTCCGAAATCTGTTACCTTTTTTGTTACTCTCCAGGACAAGGGATCTATAATTGTCCAATTGACCAGCGTACAGTTATAAAGTCCACAAGTTGAGCTTGCCTTTATCTTTTCCAATTTGGCCTTCAGGTGGGGACAATGATGTTCCTAGCCCCAGTTAGTTGTTGCCCAACACACACCCTCCCATGTATTTCCACACAAGTGGCCTCCGTGGACCCCGGAGGTGAGATAAGAATTTCCACGATTCATACACATGTATTTTTCAGTTTTCCTGTATTGTCTCCTCTGATATATCTCCACAGTCAGCAGAGTAATAGTCCCTATCTACCGCTTGGCAGACATCAAAAATGACCGATACCGGGGAATTAGGACTATAAACCGGATTACTTACTGCCAAAGTTTTCCATCCATCATATTTATATTTCCCTTTCTTCATGTATCCCTCTGTTTTCAATTCTATCCAATAGAGAGTTGGAAGTACTTCAGGATTATAGCACATGACTGTGTTGGCTGAAAGATCCTTGCGGAGTTTATATTTGGTTATATATGCAATCACCCACAATCTGCCCTTTACATTCGTAGTGGCCATGGTATATCAATGTATGCGAGACTCTATCACCTTGCATTGTTACAGCAACACACTCACTGCAATGGTGGGAAGAGGAGTCCACACCTTCCCGCAGGGTTCCAGTCAGGACCCACACCAAGAGAGGTCCGGTCAGGATCATAATGCTCAGCGGTCACCGCCCCAGGGGTTGCAGCCCTCGGCAGACCTTGTCAGCTGCAGCACCGATTCCCTCCGGGCTTGCCCTCTCTGGCTTTCACCAGGGTGTGCCTTCCTTCTCTTTGTGGGTCATAGGAATTATTTTACTCCATACAGGACTTTCAACACGAACAAGGGCTTGGAAAAAGTGGGGAAAAGCGGGTTCCTTTAGTCAAAAGATAATGTCTGCTCCCTGTACGCTGTTCAATTAGAATTTACCTTGTTACAGGAGTCAATATGAACCTCCCTCAGCCGTCACACCAAGTCCTTTTAAGGGTAGGTTTGGTATTTCCAGGTTCAGTTACAACCCTCCATTCCTTTATAGTTCCCTTCACCCTTGATGCATGTGTCCATCCCTTTTCAGCTGTCCTTATTGCCGTTTCTGTGGTTAAAGGAACAAGAAACGGACCTTCCCATCGGGGGTTAAGGCTGTCTTCTTTCCAGCTTTTTACCAACACTTTATCTCCCAGCTGAATTTTGTGTATTGCAAAATCCAAAGGGGTGCTCTGGGCTAATAATCCTTTAGCCCTCAGCTCCTGCATGTTTTTCTTCAATTCTATGATATAATGTTGAATAGTCATTGCGGAGCCGCGGACGAACGACACGCTGAGATGGGTTCAGTGTGGGTGATAGAGCATCAATCAACGTGTGTTTTTATTGGTCCAGGGTACATATATTTATACAGACAATGATAATTATTATGCCTACTAGTCACTAGCTGATTGGCTTAAGCTCTAAAGGTCGTATTCGCACGGTCCACCTACTTGCAGTTAGCTTAAAGCCCAAGCTTCTCATAACACTAAGTTTCTCATGCTACTATTTCTGATTCCTGTTGACTTGTTTTCAATACACGACAGTACCGTAACACAATGTTTCTCAGACCACCGTTACCATAACACTGGGTTTCTCAGACCACTATTCCTAATTCCCCTTAACCTGTTTTTGACACACCACGGTACACAGGGCTGAAGCGTCCTTGACATTCCTCCTGTATCAGCAGCTGCGAGCAGCTGCAGGCAAACCCTAGTGAGGCCCAGCATCAGCAGCTAGAGCAGGCTCTGATCATACAATTGCTCGGTGGGCTCAGGACCCTTGTCTCTGAGCCATTCTCCAACAATTCCCCCTTTTTCTTTTTGTATGAGCAGAGCCTGCGCTAACGTTCATTCAAAGATTTTCTTAATACATGACAAGGCACAACTTAGGCATGCAGGCTTACAATCTACTGGCTAAAGGCACAGGACCCTTGTCTCTGAGCCATTCTCCAACAAGTCATATCTTCCAATTTAGGATGATCTATTGGCAACCCTTGGGCATAAGGCATTCCATACAACATTTCAAAAGGTGAAATTCCAGTTCCTGAATTTGGCATAGTTCTGATGTTTAACAAGGCCAGGGGAAGACACTTTATCCCTGACATTTTTGTCTCAATCATAAGTTTGGATAACTGATATTTTAGAGTCTGATTTACCCTTTCCACTCTTCCAGAACTTTGGGGATGCCAGGGAGTGTGATAGTCCCATTGGATTCCCAAAGCTGATATAACATTTTTAAGAATCTTAGATGTAAAATGAGATCCTTGATCTGAGTTGATTACTTTAATCATCCTGTATCGGGGAATGATTTTCTCAAGTAATTGCTTTGCTACTGTCTGAGCCGTGGCTCTTGTAGCAGCGAATGCCTCAACCCAGTGTGTTAGCTGATCAATGACCACCAAAAGATACTTATAACGTCCCACCTTTGATAATTCAGTAAAATCCACCTGTATCCTTTCAAAGGGTCGGTGAGCCAGAGGCCTCCCTCCTTTTGGTGTCTGTCTTATTTGGTTTTTATTAATTTTCTGACAAATTAAACAATCCTGCACCTCTCGTTTTGCAATTTCAAAAATTCCTATACACCCGTAAAATTTTAGGAACTGATCCACAAGAGCTCTAGCTCCCCAATGCATCTGTTGATGTAACCTTTGCAATATCCTTCTGGCATACCCTTTTGGTAACATTTCCCTTCCATCTGGCAAAATCCATTTATCGTCTTTCTGTTTAGCTCCTCATTTTTCATATTCCAATATTTCACGTTCGGAATAAGCCTTTTGTTCATTCGTTTGTTCCTCTTTCAGTCCTGGTTGCTGACTGGTTGTCAAGGTTAAGAGAGCCGCTCGCTTGGCTTCTTCATCTGCTAAATTATTTCCGCTAATTCTAAATTGCAACCCTTTTTGGTGTCCTCTAACATGAGTTATAGCTATCGCCTTGGGTTCTCATATAGCCTGCAATATTTGTTTTATTAGTTCTTCATGGACTAATCCCTTTCCCTGGGTATTTATTAAACCCATTTCCTCCCATATTTTTCCAAAGGTGTGGACTATTCCAAAAGCATATTTTGAATCCATAAAAATTGTTCCTTTTTGATTTTGCAATCTTTTCAATGCCCCCAAAGGGCGTATAATTCAAATGCCTGCTCTGACCAACTGGCACTCAGTGGCCCAGATTCTACTACTTCAAAATTGTTCCCGTCTATGATGGCATACCCTGATTTTCTCTTCCCTTCAATCACTCGCGAAGATCCATCTATAAATAATCTTTCCCTTTCCTCCAACTCTTCTTCCTCTAGATCAGGTCTAATTTTTGTTTGCAACTCTACTAAATCTAGACAGTTATGCTTGAGTACCGCGGCCTCCTCCCATCCCCCAAACAAAAACTGTGCTGGGTTCTGTGCCACAGTCATCCTTAAATCCAAATCGGAGGAGTGAATTGAAATAGCATTGTATTTTAATAATCTACTGTCGGTAAGCCATTTATCTGCTTTCTGTTGGAGGATCCCTCTAATGTCATGAGGGGCATATACTACTAAAGATCCCCCGAATGTAACCTTCCTCGCTTCTTCGACTAACAAGGCCACAGCCACCACTGCTTGCAAACACGTTGGCCATCCTCTGCTTACCGGATCTAATAGTTTTGAAAAATACCCCACGGGCTTTTTACTTCCAGCCCGATCCTGAGTAAGCACTCCATAGGCAGTATAATTACTGGTTATTTACAAAGAGTTGGAACGGTTTATTTAGGTTGGGAGACTCAATACAGGAGCCGTTACCAGGGTATCCTTAAGACTTTGGAATTTTTCATCATCCTGTGACGACCATTTTATCACGTTCGAAGTAAGTTTTTCATATAAACACTTTACCTTCTCACTGAACCCCTCCATCCATTGTCTGCAATATCCCAGCAGTCCCAGTAATTGTCAAATTTCTCTTTTTGTTTTTGGAGCCGTCAAGGCAACTATCCCTGCTATCCTGTCTGGGTCTAATTTCTTCTTCCCTTTAGTGATCCAATGCCCTAAGTATTTTACCTCTGGTTCAGTAAATTGCAATTTACTCCGTGACACTTTCAGTCCCCTTTCTCCAAGAAAATTCAAAAAATCTATAGTGTTCTCCCAAACCTCCTTTTCCGATTTCCCCGCTATTAACAAATCATCTACATATTGTGGGAGTTTTACTTCACCTTTAGTTTCGAAGGACGTGAGTAATTTTTCTAGTGCCTGTCCAAACAAATTTGGAGATTCAGTAAAGCCTTGAGGTAGTACTGTCCACCTCAGCTGTTGTCTTCTGCCTGTGACCGGATCTTCCCACTCAAAGGCAAAATAATCCCTACTGGCTTCTGATAGTGGGCAAGCCCAAAAAGCATCCTTCAAATCTATTACACTGTACCAGATATGTTCAGGGGATAGTTGATTCAATAAAGTGTGTGGATTTGCCACTACCAGGAACCTAGTGATGGTCCTCTGGTTGACGGCTCTCAAATCCTGGACCGGCCGATAACTACCATCTGGTTTCTTAACTGGAAGGACGGGGGTATTATGTGGGGACATGCAAGGCTCCAAAGTCCCTTTTTGAATTAAATCATCAATTATTGGTTTTAATCCTTTTCTTCCTCCTAACGAGGTTGGATATTGCCTAATTCTTATTGGTTCTCTTGGGTTTATGATTCCCACTCCTAGCGGTTCAATATCCAATTTTCCTATTTCTCCTTTATTATACCAAACCTTCTGGGTTATCCGTTTTTCATCCTCTTCAGTTAAGTGATACAACTTTACAGAGATATTGTGTCTCTCTACCTCTAACCCTATACCCAATTTAATAATTAAATCTTGTCCTAAGAGATTCTTCAACTTCTTCTTCAACTAATAAAAAGTCTCTTTTTATTAGTTGAATAAAAGTCTCTTTTTATTAGTTGAATAAAATATTCTTCTACTTCTTCAACTAATAAAAAGTCTCCTACACATATTCAAGTTTTTGATTCAATTTCTACATTCTTAATAATGGGGACTCTAAAAGGTTTCCCGTTAGCACCCACCACCAGGGTTGTATCCCTGCTGATTTGACAACCTCTAGGAATATGCTGGACCGTCAATTTTTCAGCCCCTGTATCTACTAAAAATGCCACTTCCCCTCCTTAGGGACCTATTTTTAAATTTATCCAGGGCTCCGTTATTGTTCTGGTCCCCAAAATATGTAGCCCCTGACACCCCTATTCTTCATTCTTAAAACATCTCTTCATCTTTCATTCGCTTCCAACAATGCCTTTGGATATGTCCCTTCCGCCTACAATAATAACATTCAGGTATTCCCCGAGGAGAACCCCTATTCCTCTCCCTCGGGATCATTGACTGCCCTCTTTTACCTTCCGATCTGGGAGTTTTTGAGATCGTTCTCTGTTGTTCCTTTTGCAGAATTTCCCGGACCGCCGCTACAAATAGTTTTGCTTTCTCTTTCTGCTTCTCCTCATCTCTCCGCACATACACTTTCTGAGCTTCCCTCAACAATTCCTGCAGTCCTCGATCTTGCCAATCATCCAACTTCTCCAGTTTCTTTCTTATATCTCCCCAGGATCTGGCTACAAATTGGGGTTTTAATAACGCTTCTCCAACCGGAGAGGCTGGGTCCACCCCAGAATACATCTGTAAATTTTTTCGCAACCTCTCTAGCCAGTCCGCAGGAGACTCGTCCCTCCCCTGATATTCGCTAAAAGCCTTGTTAATATTTTGCCTATCACGGGCATTTTGGTTATTCCAGTTTGGGTTCTGGTTAGGCCATTTTTGTTCTCCAGGAGGGCCCTGTTGGTGCCTTCTCTCCCACATCCACATTCCCGCTTGTCTAATCATAGATCTTTCTTCGGCCGTAAATAATATTCCTAAGATAGACTGCATTTCCTCCCGGGTGTAGGTATGAGGACCTAGGAACTGATCTAATCGTTCAGAGGCTCCCAAAGGATCGTCTAGTAAATGACCCATTTCCTTTTTAAAGAGTCTCACATCACCTGTATTTAAAGGTACTGTTACAAATCCAATTCCTCCTATGTCCCCTCCCATCGGTACCTCTTGAAGCGGGGCTAGGGTCACTGCTTCTTCTTTTTCATGAATTTTATCCCTCTCTCTCTGTACTGTTTTGCTCCTGGTGTGACTAGAAGGAGGAGAGGGTGGGGGAGCCAACGGAGAGGGGTCAGGAGGCAGTTGGGGATTTATTCTCTCCTGACGGCCTTCCGCGTTCTGCCTTATATAAGGTGGGGGTAAATTATCTAATGGCTCCCACGATAACGCGTTTGGTTTAGTTTCTATTTCTTCTGTTTCCTTTTCTTTCTTTTCTTTCAAAGGAAATAACGAAAGCGATCTTCCAGTTTCCGAGCCTTTCCACAGTGCAGCATATTCACTCTCTTCCTGGCTAAAGGGTTCTTTACTATTCACATATAGATTCAATACCTGACAGATCCAATCATCAAAAGATCCAAATATCGGCCAATATAGGTGATCGGGCCGAATTTCCTCTTTTGTCCATACTTCCATACAGTAATGGACCATCTTTTCCTTAGTTTTCCCGTTCTGAGATGGCCAGGAACCCCAGTGCTTAAGCATTGTCCCAAGGGGACTGTCTGGGGGGATATCTGGCAATTCTTTTTCCTCCTTTCTTCCCTTTTCAGATTTTGACCCCTTTTCAGATTTTGACTTATTTTGGCCCATTCTTAGGAATTTTGTGGCAACTCCTATCGCCCTTGTAGGGGGTTGGATCCAGGGAGTTGAATCCCTCACCCACCCACGTATCCCTTGGGAATTCTGTGGCAATTCCTCTCGTCCTTGGTTACCGGTAAGAGTGTCTTGCGGGGGGGTTGAACCCTTCACCCACCCACGTACCCCTAGGACCCACGCTCCCACCCACGAGTCCTATAGGATCCGCTTCGGTCCTTCACCGGCCGAATCCCCTGCGGGAGTTTGGAACCGCGGTTAGCAGACCTCCGCACCCGCTTCGGAACTCAAATCCTGGCTCCGAAACTATTTTTGTTTCCAGGGTGAGGTTCCGTCTCAATCACACTCTCACGCCCAAGCAACCGAATCCCACCCAACCGAACGGCAGCCCTTATACTCACGACTCCATCGTCTTCGCTCCGATCTTCGTGCACCGGAATGACGGGTAATTTACACTGCGGTCTTTCCCTTGGAGCTCCGATTCCTTTGGTTATTGCCCCTCTTTTCGCTCGTTGATCCCCAGAGATTAACCCGCACTGCTGCTCCTCGAGCCACAATTTGTGGGGCGTCCCCCGAGGAACAACAATTCAGGAAACCACTTGGAGAGCAAGTTGGGGTTGCCCAGTTGATATAATTGACTGAAGTCCAATTTTAGAATAGGTGTTATAGGTAGATTAAGGCAAATCACGCCCAAATATGGATTAATGAATCTTTATGAAGGTAAGAGAGCAAATGCAGCGCTGGGGTGGCCGAGGAGTCGCAGCTCCGTCCAGGCTCACCAAATTGTTTAAGTTAAAACCCCCCTTTTTATCCACACAGCTGCTGGTTTCAACACCTTCGGCACGCCTCCCGGCTTCTTCTGCGATCTTATCTTCCTCTTTCTTCTCCTCGCTTCATATAATCTTAACAAAGCAGTTAGCTACAAATTTCGTTAACACAAGCTGCTTCCCATGCTTTTGGTTACCCAGGGTCTTACTCGAGATATGTTGCTATAGAAACATAACCTTGTGGTTTCTTTAATGTTTACTCGTATATCAATGTTACAGAAGCCATGCTTTGTTCCCTTCTCAGACGGGATGTAACCGTCTGGTTTCAACATCCTGTGCAGGGGCCCCCAACCGTAGGTTCTTGTCTGACTACTTAATACTTTCCCTATTAAGCTCCCTAAGCAAAGCAAGAAATTCAAAGGTTAAATTCTTAACATTCAGCAAATTATCTTTTAACCATGTATAACAACTCCTGCCCTTTTCTATTTACCCTTAATTTGCTGATGCAACTTCGCTAATACATCACGAGCTGCTTCTAATTCAGGATTTTCATCTAATATTGTTTTCATCTCTATTTCAGATTGTCTCACCACCATCAGTTGTACCTTCTCTAATCTATTTTTAACAAAGGCTACAAACTTATTAAGAATACATGCCCCAACTGTCAAAGCGATCAAGATCATTACGAGAGGTCCAACCAGAGTGGATATTAAAGTAGTTAACCATGGTGACTGATTGAACCAAGATTCGTACCAGGAGGATTGGGCCTCCCGTTCTCGCTTTCTTTTCTCTAGTCCCTCCCTCAATTTGGCTAATGAATTTCTTACAACTCCAGTGTGGTCGGCATAAAAACAGCACTCCTCGCCCAAGGCGGCACGTAGTCCTCCTTGTTGCAAGAACAAAAGGTCCAATCCTCTCCTATTCTGTAGAACTACCTCAGATAGTGAGGTCAATGACTTTCCTAAATAGGATATAGGTTTCTTAATGCGGGCTAAGTCCTCATCTACTGCGGCTCTTAAAGAGGTTAGGCCCTGTTGTTGCACCAAGGAGGTTACACCTGTAGCGGTTCCAGCAATTCCCAATCCTAACAAGGTTGTGATAGTGATAGCAGATACAGGTTCCCTCTTGCTGAGTCGGTGTGCTGAGTTACTCCAATGTGAGTACATAGCTTCTTCTCCATATAGGAGAATCCTTGGTACCGCTGTGACTTGAACACAGAATTCAGAGGTATTTTGTTTAATAGTGGTGATAGATAGGCAGGGTGTTAGCCCACCATGCCCCTGGACTTGGTAATACCCATTTAGTGGTGGGCGAAAAGTTCTGACTCTGGTTTGTGCATAAGGCCTTTCTCCCATTTGTTACTCTCCCTATGCACCAACCACTCCCTCTGACCTGTTGGAGAGTGGTCCCTGCTTTCCGTTCTCTCCAGTTACATCTGGAGGGGCTCTCCTCATCAGAAGTGTTGAAAGGAGAGGAGACAGCTATTCCTTCATAGAAAGGCGGCTTAATGTCATAGCATAACCAACAGGAGATAGTGAAATTTGGATCTGTAGCGTTTAAAGCCTGATAGGCTGCCTGCTTTACAGCCCAAAGGGATACATCAGCCTTTTGCTCATCGTTCATCTTAAGGGTACTGGTTGGATCTGACCCCTGAGATATTGTAGAAGTCTCTACTTTTTTATCTTTTTCCTTTTACCCTTTTGTTCTTTAATAATTCAATTTGGGCCTATAACTTGGGAATTTTTAACCTCATGTTTTTGAATACGTATTAGGACCCCCCTATCGGTCCCAGGTTCCCAAAACCTTATTCCCCAGGTTCGTCCCGTTAGCCATCCGGGATCTTGGTGTTGCAATATCGAGACCCTCAAGGACTTGCAAGTCCCAGCTCGATTTATTCCACCACCGTGATTATAGGCAGGCTTCTGACACTTATTGGGCCACCAGTCAACACTCAAAAATTTGTCCCTGTTAGGTGCCTCCCATCCTCCAGTGGTTATGGTTTCACAACCCCAATAGGCACAATAATAGTGGTTAGGGAAGTTGCAATAACTTTTGCCGGGATTTGAACTGGGACACCAGTAGGTAGCTTTTAAATTTGTCGCTCCCCAGGAATATTGTCTAGAGGGGTGACATTCAGAGTGTTCCGTGCTTCCAGCATATCCTACTGTGGAGTCTAATAATTCACAATTGGTCATGTTAAAGGAGGGTGCACCCGTCGTAATGTTAATCTTGAGAATTTTAGAATCGTCCCATCTAGCGATGGTCCAAATGAAAGGCTGATGATATTCACTCTCGATGGTGAGGCCAAATAGCAATATTAACAGAATACCTGTTTCCATTTTCTCCACTATTCAATATCTCTCTGCCTTTTCCTTGTCTACTCCCTTGCAAGGAGCAACAGGATCTCAAGGTCTTCTTGCCAGCAGTAGATAGTCTTCAGGGGAATAGAACAGGCACCAAGTTACTCCTGTTCAGGGCCCTCTTCTTTTCTTACCTCCAGGGGGCTGCGGCCACACCACTTTCTCTGGTACACCAGAAAAAAAAAATGCCTACTATCAATACCCCAAAGGTGACAATGAGCACTGTTAGCAGCATGGGTTCAGCTACTAATAGGTCTGGGATTTATGCAGTGAACTTGCAATCTTGGCAACACACAGTCCTAATGCTCTATACCAATCGGTTTTGTAAATTTCCCAGCGTTCAGGCACTAATAATTCCCACCCACAGAACAATTTGCAAATTTCCACCTGGGCTTCTGGACTCCTGTTGATTATGCCGCGACACTTCATACAATATGGTTGTCTTCTAAATGATATACAAGACCATTCCTTATTACAATTAAAGCATTTACACACTACCCAACATAAATGTTCTGAATCAGGGTGCTTGATGCAGGGAATGTCCAGCAAATCTCCGAATTGGGGTGTTTCAGGAATCTCAGTCTCTACCTCACAACATAATACAACATACCAAAGAGTATCCACCAATCTATATATTCCAGCACCGCCTGTTTGTTCAGGTAGTGGTTCTTTTATGCTCCAGGGTGCAAAGCGAATTCTCCATAGTGTCCCTCCTGGTAGAACCTGAAAGAATCTATTTAAAGTGTCACTTATCTCCTCGTCAGGGTTACTCATTCACTCAGTTCCTGCTTATTTTCACCCGCAGTGTCCCGGGCTGTGGAGTGGCAGTCCACTTTCTTGGTGAAACCGGCCCTTCAATTCTGCTGGCGTGTGTCCACCCCTTCTCCGCAGTCCGCACAGCTGTATCTGTAGTGAGCAAAACAACAAAAGGCCCTTCCCAACAAGGTGTTAGGGAAGTCTCCTTCCAGGTACTTGATCTCCAGGTCGCATTTTATGGATTGCAATATCTAGCGGAGGCCGTTGCACCACTAAACCCCTCCTTCTTAACTCCTGCCTCCTCTTGGTAAGTTCCATAATGCATTCTGTTAAAATCTTATTTTCAACCTTAGGGTGTTCGACTGGTAAGCCGAAATCGTATGGCATTCCATATAACATTTCGAAGGGGGATGTACCAGTGTCTGTTCGTGGCTGAGTTCTAATGTACAGCAAAGCTAGGGGTAGGCAGTTAACCCAATTCATTTTCGTTTCTATCATGAGTTTTGTTAAATGTTTCTTTATTTCCCCATTCATTCTTTCCACCTTTCCAGAACTCTGTGGATGCCAAGGAGTACGATACTCCCATTTTGTACCAAGTAATTCAGTTGTTTCTTTAATTATTTTAGATGTAAAATGTGGACCGCGGTCTGAATCAATTACTGCAATTGTCCCATATCTTGGAATGATTTCTTCCAGGAGAATTTTAACAACCGTTTTTGCAGTGGCTCATACCACTGGAAAGGCTTCCACAAAGTGGGTAAGATGATCAACCAGAACTAACAGACGCTGATACCTCCCAGCCTTCGGTAATTCAGTGAAATCTACTTGTATCCTCTCAAAGGGTCTTTTAGCTAACTCCCGACCTCCATGAACCCTCTCCCTAAGTTGTCATTTATTTACCTTATGGCAGGTTAAACACCCCTCTAAAATTTTCTTGCCTAACCCATATATCCCTACACAAGCGTAATTTATTTCAAATTGATCTATCAAAGCTTGGGTTCCCCAATGTGTGGTCCGGTGTAATTTGTTCAATATCCCCCGGGGCTAATCCCTTAGGAAGGATCTCCCGGCCGTCAGGCAATAACCATTTATCGCCATCTCTCCCTGCCCCGATTTGCTTTAATTTGTCCAATTCTTGGGAAGTGAAAGTTTTATCCGATTTAAACTTCTCTAATTTTGGTTCCTCTTCTAAAGTTTGGACCACTAAAAATGCAGCTCCTTTTGCCTCCGCATCAGCCAAATTATTTCCCCTTATCAGGGGGGTGAGCCCTTTCTGATGTCCTTTGATGTGAACTACGGCTATCTTCAATGGTTCTCTTAATGCTTTCAGGACTTCTAAGATTAATTTCTCATGAACTAATCCCTTTCCTTGAGTATTAACCAGGCCTCTCTCTTCCCAGATTTTTCCAAAGGTATGTACCACCCCGAATGCATATTTTGAGTCCGTATATATGGTTCCAATCTTATTTTCCAGGAGCTTTAACGCTCTCAAAATGGCGTATAATTCACATGCTTGCGCGGACCAGGCTTTATTCAATGGCCCTGATTCTTTTACTTGGAAAGTATATCCATCTATGATGGCGTATCCTGATTTCTGTTGCCCTTTGACCACGCGTGAGGAACCGTCTACAAATAATTTTTCGCCTTCGTCTAATTTGTCTTCCTCTAGATCTTCTCTTATTTTTTGTCTGCAAGCTTATTAATTGGAGGCAATCATGTGTTAAATTTTCTTTAGGCTCCCCGTACAAAAATTGGGCTGGATTCTGAATAGAGGTTGTTTCCATTTGTAGCCTAGGGGAGTTAATTAAAATTCCCTTATATTTCAATAACCGACTGTCTGTGAGCCACTTGTCCGCTTGTTGTTGTAACACCCCCCGGATGTTATGTGGAGTATACACTTTCAATTCACCCCCTAGAGTAACTTTCCCAACCTCTTCTGCTAATAATGCAGTAGCCATTATCGCCTGTAAACATGTGGGCCACCCCCGACTCACAGGGTCTAATATCTTAGAATAATACCCCACAGGTTTCCTTTGCCCTGCCCATCCTTGGGTCAGAACTCCATAAGCGGTCCCTTTATCTACATTAATAAAAAGCTGAAAAGGTTTACGAATGTCAGGTAAACTGAGGACGGGTGCTTCTGTTAGATCTCTTTTTATAATTTCCCAATGCTCCTCATCCTCCATCCTCAGGGGTCCATTTCACCAGTCCATTTTTAGTTAATTTTTCATATAAGAATTTCACCTTACTGCTATAATTTTCTATCCATTGCCGGCAATACCCTAATAATCCCAATAACTGTTATATTTGTCTTTTAGTAGTGGGTGCTGTCAAGGACAGAATCCCTTTAACTCTCTCAGGATCCAATTTCTTATAACCCTTTGTAAGCCAATGTCCCAGGTATTTTACTTCTTCTTCAGTAAACTATAATTTAGGCTTGGAGACTTCTAGTCCTTTGAGACCCAGGAAGTTTAACAATTTGATACTTTAATTCCTGACTTCTTCTTGAGTTCTTCCAGCGACTGGTAAATTGTCTACATACTGTATTAGAATCAATTCCTTACTGAATTCGTAAGACTCTAATAGTTGTTCTAAAGCTTGTCCAAATAAATTCGGAGATTCTGTAAACCCCTGGGGTAAGACAGTCCAGCGTAATTGTTGTTTCCTGTGAGTCTCAGGGTCTTCCCATTCAAAAGCAAAGTAATCTCTACATTTTTCCTCCAGGGGACAAGCCCAAAAGGCATCTTTTAAATCTATAACACTATACCATTTGTAATCTGGACTCACTTGGTTAAGGATAGTGTGTGGGTTGGCTGCTACAGGGGAACGAGTAATAGTTTGTTCATTGACCGCTCTCAAATCCTGTATAAGACGATAGGACCCGTCCGCCTTCCTTACCGGCAGGATCGGGGTATTGTGAGGGGACATACAAGGTTCTAAGAGACCTTGAGCTAAAAGTCTCTCTATTATTGGTTTTAATCCCTCCCTTCCTTCTCTAGAGATGGGGTATTGTTTCATTGTAATTGGCCAGTCCGGGTCCCTGATAGATATGGTTATTGATTTTATATTTAATTTCCCTACTGACTCCGAGTCATACCATGTTTCTGGGTTGATTTTCGCTTCATCCTCTGCGGTTAAGGCATAGAGCCTCACCTTTAGTTTTTCTTGGTCTATTTCCAGGTTAACCCCTAATTTTACCATTAAGTCCCATCCCAGGAGATTGTATTCAGCCTCCGGGACTAATAAAAACGTTCCTATCCTGTATTTATTGGGGGTTTCTGTTGTCACATCTTTCACCAATGGAACTCTAAAAGGTTCACCTTTTGCTCCAATTACTTGTAATTTTTCCTTTGATTCCGTACAGCCCGATGGTAAACGCTGAACAGTTGATCTTTCAGCGCCCGAATCTACCAAAAATTCAAACACTTCGTGCTGGGGTCCCAGTTTTAATTTTATCAAGGGCCCCGTGGTCTTAGAGGTCCTCAGCAGATGGAGCCCCTGACCTCCCTAATCTTCCTTAAAGACCTCCTCATCCTGCATTCTCTTTCTGCAGTTTTTCTTTAGATGTCCCTTTTTATGACAGTAAAAACACTCCATATTCTGCAGGTCCGGTCTCCTATTTCCCGCAGGATTCTTTCGGGGGCTCTCCTTTCTCCTATCATGATTTTGTCCTTCTCTCACGGCTGTCATCAGGATTCTGGCCTGCCTCTTTTGGCTTTCCTCCTCTCTTCTTACGTACACCCTCTGAGCTTCTCGTAATAACTTGTCTAACCCTTTGTCTTGCCAGTCTTCTATTTTCTCTAGTTTTTTTCTTATATCCGTCCAGGATTTAACCACAAACTGGGTCTTAAGTAGGGCCTGACCCACCGGACTATCAGGGTCCAGACCCAAATATAATTGCAAGCCCTTCCTTAGATGCTCTAACCATTCAGTGGGGGTCTCGTCCTTCTTTTGTTGTTCATTGAAGGCCTTATTAATATTCTGCCCCCTTGGTACTGAATCTCTAATTCCTTGAATTATCATGTCTCGGAGGTCGATCATATTATTTCTATGGACCGGGTCTTGATTATCCCAATTAGGTCGCTGGGGGGGCCACTTTGTATCCCCAGCGGGTCCTTGTTGATGTCTTTGGTCCCAGTGTCTCATCCCAGCGGTTCTGATCATTCCTCGTTCCTCACTAGTAAACAGGATTCTCGAGATGGATTCCATCTCATCCCAGGTGTAAATATTTGGGCCAAGGAACTGATCAAACCATTCTGCCACCCCTAGAGGGTCCTCCAATAAGTGTCCCATTTATTTTTTTTCTTAAATTCTCTCACATCCCCGGAGCTGAGTGGGATGGATACAAAACCAGCTCCAGGCTGGGCTCCTCCCGTTGCTGTTTCCCTTAACGGATATAATAATGTTTCCCTTCTGCTTTCCCGAGTCTGACTTCTAGTCGTCCTCCTAGGTGGAGGAGGAATTACTGCCTCATCAGACTCAGAATTTAATTTTTTAATTAACGGGGACTCTGGGGTAGCGGAGGGAGAAGAATTCCGCCCAGAGTCTTGGGGCGGATTAAAAGGGGGAACATAGGGAGGAGGAGGAGGTGGAGTGTCATCTATATCCTTATTTTTCTTGTTGTTTTTCTTTTCCTTTAGCGGAAATAAATTTGAGGTTTGTGATGTACTTAGAATCCATAAGAAAGCGTATTCACTCTCCTCCTTATTAAATGGCTGTTTGTCATTTACCTAAATATTGAATTGTTGACATCTCCAATCTTCGAAAGAGCCATAAACTGGCCAATATAAATCCCTTCTTATCTCCTTCCCCCCCCCCCCCATACTTCCATACAATAATGGATCATCTTTTCCTTAGATTTTTTCCCTTCGGGAGGGGGAACTATCCCAACGCTGAATCATGAGCCCTGGGGGTATTTTAGGGAGCTCTGTCACACGAGTCCCTCGCTTTCCCCCGTCCGTGGCCCCCGCCCTCGCGGGCAGTGGGAACCGCACTAGTGGGAGGTCCACGCTCCCTTCGCCCCTTGGACTCCTAAACCCGGCGGACGCCTCGGTCACTCACCCTCCGGGGACCCAGTCCCCAACCGAACGGTATCGCGATATACTCACTCAGTCCAGAGTCTTCATTCGGTCTTCGTGCACAAATATTCCGGGGAACGGCCGTCTTGGGGTGTTACCGGGGAGCCCGATCCCCCACCCCGTATCCTCTTTGCTCTCCTATCTCGGTTCGGAAAATCCAGATGAGCTCGGTCGGGATTCCCCCCGGGACCATCCAAGGATGGGGCGCCCTCCCAGAGCTGAATTCCGAGTCAGCTGTCTGGATCCGAGTCACGGCACCGAATTTTGTTATAGGTAGATTAAGGCAAATCACACCCAAATATGGATTAATGAATCTTTATGAAGGTAAGAGAGCAAATGCAGCGCTGGGGTGGCCGAGGAGTCGCAGCTCCGTCCAGGCTCACCAAATTGTTTAAGTTAAAACCCCACTTTTTATCCACACAGCTGCCGGTTTCTTATCTTCCTCTTTCTTCTCCTCGCTTCATATAATCTTAACAAAGCAGTTAGCTACAAATTTCGTTAACACAAGCTGCTTCCCATGCTTTTGGTTACCCAGGGTCTTACTCGAGATATGTTGCTATAGAAACATAACCTTGTGGTTTCTTTAATGTTTACTCATATATCAATGTTACAGAAGCCATGCTTTGTTCCCTTCTCAGACGGGACGTAACCGTTTGGTTTCAATATCTTGAGCAGGGGCCCCCAACCGTAGGTAGAACAACTTGTTTTTCTTGTCTGATTACTTAATACTTTCCCTATTAAGCTCCCTAAGCAAAGCAAGAAATTCAAAGGTCAAATTCTTAACATTCAGCAAATTATCTTTTAACTATGTATAACATCAGGACCCCCAAAAAGTCCCATCTCTGTCCCTAAATCCTCCCAAAATGTCCCCAAACACCCCACAGGACCCCCACAAAAGTCCCATCGTTGTCCCTAAATCCCCCCCAGGACCCCCAAAATGTCCCCAAATCCGCTCAGGATACCCCCTCTCCTCCCCGCCCCCCCCCCCCAAAAAGGTGCCGGCGGGCACTAGGACCCGGCGGAGCCCCTCCCCCTTCCCGCCGTCGGAAGGCACTTCCGCCCGGCCCGGGGCGGGGCGCTGACTTCGGGTGGGTGGAGGCGCATGCGCGGCGCCCGGGAAGGGGCGGGGCTGGCAGGGAGGCGCTTCCGGTTCCGGGGGAGCGACGCGTGCGGCCCCGCGTGGAGCAGCGGCGGGATGAGGCCAGGTTCGAACTGGGAGGAACTGGGGGGGGGGGGGGGGGGGGGCGTGATTGGGAGCTACTGGGGGTCAACTGGGAGGGACTGGGGGGCGTTAGAGGGTGACAGGGGTATACTGGGAGCCATTGGGAGGGACTACGGGGGGGACTGGGGGGGCACTAGGGGGTGACTGGGGGGGACTGGGGGTGCGCTAGGCCGTGACTGGGAGATACTGGGAGACAGTGGGAGGGACCAGGGGGTGACTGGGGGGCACTGGGAGAGACTGGGGGCACTAGGGGTGACTGGGAAATACTGGGGGGCACTGGGGGGTGACTGGGAGATACTGGGAGCAACTGGGGGGCACTGGGGGGTGACTGGGTGGGACTGGGAGCGACTGGGGGGCACTAGGGGTGACTGGGGGGCACTGGGGGGTGACTGGGAGATACTGGGAGCAACTGGGGGGCACTGGGGGGTGACTGGGTGGGACTGGGAGCGACTGGGGGGCACTGGAGGGTGACTGGGAGCGACTGGGGGGCACTGGGGGGTGACTGGGAGGGACTGGGAGCGACTGGGGGGCACTGGGGGGTGACTGGGAGATACTGGGAGCGACTGGGGGGCACTAGGGGGTGGCTGGGAAATACTGGGAGTGACTGGGGTGACTGGGGGGGCTGGGGTGTACTGGGAAGCACTAGGTGACTGGGAGATACTGGAGGGTACTGGGAGGGGGATGGGGTGTGCTTGGGGGGTAACTGGGAGGGACTGGGAAGGCTAGATGTAACTGGAGTTCAACTGGAAGGGTGGTGGGAGGGTGCTTGGGCCAAACTGGGCCGACTGGGAGCCCGGCGGGGGGTGACTGGGAGCCTCCTGCCGCCGCCCCAGTGCTCCCAGTTGCCCCAGTCTGATGCCATCCCCGCAGGTTTCAGCCCCCGGGGAGGGCGCGGCGGCTTCCGGGGGGGCCGAGGTGAGCGGGTCCCCTCCCAGTAAGGCCCATCCCGCCTCTACTGGGAACCCCCTTTCCCCCCGCATGCCCAGTTTCCCCTCCCAGTATGCCCAGTCCCCTCAAAGTTCTCCTCCTGCCTGCCCTTTTCCCCCCCAGTTCTCTCCCAGTATGCCCAGTTCCCCCAACTACCCCCCAGTTCCCTCCCAGTCCCCTTCCCAGTCTGTTCACTTCCCCTCCCAGTATGCCCAGTTTTTCTTCCAGTATGGATCATTCCTGCCCAGTCTCACTCCCAGTTTGCCCAGTTCCCCCCACATACCCCCCAGTTCTCCTCCCAGTATGCCTAGTTCCCTTTCCAATACCTCCAGTATACCCCAGTTCCCCTCTCAGTATGCCCAGTTCCCCCCCAGTGCCCCCTAATCCCCCTCCCAGCATGCCCAGTCCCCCCCAATTCCCACCCAAATATCCACCAGTCACTTCCCATTTCCTCCCAGTCCCCCTCCCAGCATACCCAGTCACCCCCACTTCCTCTCCCAGTACGCCCAGTTCCCCCCTAAATACGCACCAGTCCACTCCTATTCCCCCCCAGTTCCCCTCCCAGTATGCCCAGTTCCCCCTCCAATACCACCAGTATGCCCCAGTCCCCTCCAGTGCCCCCCAGTCCCCCTCCCAGTATGCCCAGTTCCCTCCCAAATATCCACCAGTCACTTCCCATTTCCTCCCAGTCCCCCTCCCAGCATGCCCAGTCGCCCCCAGTTCCCCTCCCAGTATGCCCAGTCCCCCCCAATTCCCTCCCAGGCCCCCCCCAGCATGCCCAGTCCTCCCCAGTTCCCCCCAGTCCCCCCCCAAATACCAAGCAGTCCCCTCCCAGTCCCCCTCCCCGCATGCCCAGTCCCTCCCAGTTCCCCCAGTAAACCCAGTTGCTGTTGGCAGGTGGTGGCTTCCAGCCCCGGGGGGGCCCCCGGGGGGGCGGGGCCCGGGGGCGGGGGAGGGGTGGCCCCGCCCGGGGCGGGAGAGGTGGCCGCGGCGGCTTCCGAGGGGGGAAGAAGGTGACGGTGGAGCCACATCGACATGAAGGTACCCGGGGGGGGGTGGGTGTGTTTATGGGGGGCCTGTGGGGCAGATTGGGGGGTTATGGGGCCGTTTTGGGGGGCTGGGGGGGTTATGGGGGGCTATGGGGCAGATTTGGGGGGTTATGGGGCGGTTTGGGGGGGCGGTGGGGCAGAATGGGGGGGTTTTGGGGGGCTGGGGGGGTTATGGGGGGCTATGGGGCAGATTGGGGGGGAGTTATGGGGCAGTTGGGGGGCACTGACCCCCCCCCCCCCCCCGCCGCCAGGGGTGTTCATCTGCCGCGGGAAGGAGGACGCGCTGGTGACCCGGAACCTCGTCCCGGGGGAGTCAGTCTATGGGGAGAAGAGGATCTCGGTGGAGGTACTGGGAGGGACCTGGGGGCAACTGGGAGGGACCTGGGGGCAACTGGGAGGGACCTGGGGGCAACTGGGAAGGGGTAAGGAGGGACTGGGAGGGAATTGGGGAAGGTTCGTTGATACTGGGGGCAACTGGGAAGGGACTGGGAGTAACTGGGTGGGACTGGGAGGGACCTGGGGGCAACTGGAAGGGACTGGGAGGGGCGGAGGGGCAACTGGGAGGGAGTAAGGAGAGACTGGGAAGGAACTGGGATTGGTTAGGAGATACTGGGGGTAACTGGGATGGACTGGGAGAGGTGGAGTAGATCACCAGAACCTTCTTAGACTCTGTACTGGGAGCGCTGGGAGGTGGAACTGGTGGGCACTGGGAGGCTGGGGGTGTCTCAGTGGGGGGTGACGTGTCCCCCAGTATCCCCGTCCCCAGGGTGGGTGACACCAAGGTGGAGAACATCTCCAGAACCTCCTCAGAGCCCATACTGGGAGCACTGGGAGCTGGCACTGGTGGCACTGGGAGCACTGGGAGGTGGCACTGGGTGCCCACGGAGTGTCCTGGGTGGGGGGTGACGTGTCCCCCAGTGTCCCCGTCCCCAGGGTGGGTGACACCAAGGTGGAGAACATCTCCAGAACCTTCTCAGAGCCCAGACTGGGAGCACTGGGAGGGGACTGGCTGAGGGTGACACGTGATGTGTGTGTCCCCGTCCCCGTGTCCCTGTCCCCAGGACGGTGACACCAAGGTGGAGTACCGCGCCTGGAACCCGTTCCGCTCCAAGTTGGCAGCGGCCATCTTGGGTGGCATCGACCAGATCCACATCCGCCCGGGGACGAAGGTCCTTTACCTGGGTGCGGCCTCGGGGACAACCGTGTCCCACGTCTCCGACATCGTGGGACCGGTAAGGACACGGGCCACCGCGCCCTTGGGGACATCAGCGAGGGGTCGCGGGGTGAGGGGACAACAGGACAGGGTCATCAACCCCATGGGACAACCTGGAGGTGGCACCTTGGATGTTCTGGAGAACATTTGGGGACGTCACCATGGGGTGAGGGGACAAGGTGGTGGCACTGTGACCCCTTGGGGACATCACTGTGGGGTCACGGGGTGAGGAGACACCGGGACGGGGTCATCAACCCCATGGGACAAACTGGAGGTGGCACCTCGGATGTTCTTGAGAACATCCTTGAGGTCATTTGGGGACATCGCTGTGGGGTCAGGGGACATTCCAGTGGCACTGTGACCCCTTGGGGACATCGTTGTGGGGTCACGGGGCGAGAGGACACCAGGGCGGGGTCGTCAACCCCCATGGGACAACCTGGAGGTGGCACGTCAGATGTTCTGGAGAACGTTTGGGGACGTCACCGTGGGGTGAGGGGACATTCTGGTGGCACTGTGACCCCTTGGGGACATCGCTGTGGGGTGAGGGGACATTCTGGTGGCACTGTGACCCCTTGGGGACATTGCTCTGGGGTCATCAACCTCATGGGACAACCTGGAGGTGGCACCTCAGATGTTCTTGAGAACATCCTTGAGGTCGTTTATGGACATTGCTGTGGGGTGAGGGGACATTCTGGTGGCACTGACCCCTTGGGGACATCGCCATGAGGTCTCTGGGTGGGGGGACGTGTCTTGGGGACACCAGGGTTGTCCCCAGGGGTGGTGGCACCGTGTCCTGGCGGTGTTCCCCACCCCGCTGTCCCCGTCCCCAGGAGGGGCTGGTTTACGCCGTCGAGTTCTCCCATCGCTCGGGCCGGGACCTCATCAACGTGGCCAAGAAACGCACCAATGTC